AGACTGCCTACGTATCCTCTTGCCCAAGGAATCAAGCCGAACGTAGTTCACCCAAATGGCCGCGAACGACCTCAATCCACTAGAAGAGTTCGCAACCCTTCTCCAATATCATCAACTCTGCGGCTGATAGCACCTCCAATGGTCTCAAACACCTCCACCTGAGGCGAACCAATGGCCATATCCAAACTATGTCTGCCAGCTGCACTCGATTCAAAACCCAACTCATTATCTGCATCCGAATCCAAATGACTTCCACGCTGTGTCACCTCAGCTAGAATCCCAACCAATGCAGAATGACCTGGAGTAATCTTCATCCAATGTGGAGTAGCATCACTCTCCACCCGTTGCGATACCTCTAAGGTCTGTCCAAAACTCTCCACCTGCTGAGAATCAATTGGCTTCATCATCGAAGCCTCAATCAAAGTGACACCACCAGACCTATCTTCCAATGGAGTTTTACCTCCAATCACAGCAGTTGACAACTCTTTAATAGGATGACCCAAATATGTCGAAGCCTCTGTCCAGAAACTCTTCTACAAACCATTGCTCGACACCGATCCTCCTTCAGCAAGGTACGGTCTTCCAAATTTGTCACCCTATCTAGTTGCCCCAAGATTTCCTTTCCAACGAAGTGTCTCGAAATGCCGTGAGCTCGGCTCCAATACAGAAATAGGTCCATCTTGTACCTCCTATCAAAACCAGAATGGAGTACCTTCATGTCTATCACACACTTCTTCAATCTGTTGGATACTACTAGGACTTTCTCCAAAGGGGATTTGGTTGCAACCCAAACACGCCTAGAACAGCCACCAACAAAGGAAACCAAACGCCTATTACCTCCCAATAATGCCCCCTTGGAAGGTCCCCAAACATCCACGTGAACTCCTCTAGAACGACCCTTAGCACGGTGAATAGAGGTGCCAAACTTCACCTCGGTCTTCTTGCTCACATCAACATGTTCACTGGACTTTAAATTGCAGGTCTTCGCACCCTCTTTCAATCTATGCGAGAAATCAATACTGGAATGGCCAAGCCCCAAATGCCGCAGTCTAGTCGAATCAACAGAAGTCGCCAGCTCTCCACCTGTCACTATACCTCCAGTCAAGTAATACAGGTTATTTCTCCTGACGCCCTTCATCAAAATACGAGAGTCTCTCGCAATCTCGAGAACCATGTCCTCAACACGAACCTTCAGACCCTCTCCAACCAAAGCTCCAATCGAGATCAAGTTCTTCCTCAAAAAAGAAACATATCTCACATCGTTTAACTCTCTAACAGTCCCGTCAAACATCTTTATGCGAATTCTTCCTATCCCAAGGATCTGGCATGCACGGTTATCAGCCATGTACACCACACCACTATCCACCAGCTTCTCAAAACTGGAGAACCATTCCCTTCTAGGGCACACATGATAGGTCGCACCACTATCCAACATCCATTCAGATTCCTCCGAATAGCTATCTGTAGGACTGATAGAAAGCGAATAAATAGAAGAGTCAGAATTATTACCATCCGATACGATGTTTGCTTCTGATGATGGTTGCTTCCCTTTTCCCTTCTGCTTATTCTTCATCCATTCGTCGAGCTTTGGGCAGTCTTTCTTCCAATGACCAGTCTCCTTGCACCAAGCACACTGATCTTTTCCTACTCTAGACTGTGACTTCCAATTCTTTCGGTTTGGACCATTCCCTCTTGCGATCAACGCCTCCGCTACCGGCTCAACCGAAGCCTCCTTATCCTTCTTTCGAAGCTGATAATTCACAAGTGCAGCGGTGACCTCACTATACGAAAGTGATGCCTTCCCATTAATCAGAGTAAGAACGAAGGTCTCATATTCCTCGTCGGGCAAGGAACTCAACAACAGCAACGCCTTGTCCTCATCTTCAATCTTGACATCCACATTCGCCAAATCCGCAAGAAGCTTTGTGTAGTGGTTCATGTGATCTCTAATGGAGGTTCCCTTCTTCAACTGGAAACGATAAAGTCTCCTCTTCAAATGCAAGCGATTTTCCACACTCTTGGTCAAATACTTGCTTTCGAGAATCTCCCAAATCTTCTTCGCAGAAGTCTCATTCATCACATCATATTTTAGATCTTGAGTCAAACAAGACCTAATCACACCACACGCCGTTCGATTCATCTTTTTCCAAACCTTCTCTTCAATCTCATCTGGCTTGCCATCTAACTCCAAGGTATCCTCCAAATTCTGCGCGTTCAGCGCATCCAAAACCTCGCATCTCCATAATCCAAAGTTGTTTGTGCCATTAAATTTCTCCACATCTATCTTCATAGAGTGGATATTCAAACTCTGAATAGTCTTCACGCCAGAAGAACCACCCTCGACTCCCGAAGCACCTTCTTTCCCCGACATCTTACGCACCAACGAACGAAGAATAGATCCAAAACTGAAAAGATAGAGTCTTTACCAAAATGACTGTGATTATGTAGTGGTCTCTGTTGTGCGCAGCGGAAATTTCGGCAGAGTTTCTGGTGCACAATAAGAGAGAAAGATCGATATAAGAATTCCCGTCTCACCAAGGAGACAAGAATCTGAAGCGGATATCTCAACCAAGTGAGATATCGGCTCTTCCTCTCATCAGTTCTAGGACTGACCTGTCGAGGGATCCTAAAAACTATTACAATGGCCACAAACTCAAACAACCAATTTTTACGTGGTTCGGCAAACTGCCTACGTCCACGGGGCAAGGAGGGGGATCTACTATTAGAGAGAAAAAGAATACAAATAGGTTTACAATTCTCACAATCTAAACCCTCAAATAGGCTCATTGCTTTTCTTCACAAGAAAAGGTCAGCCACCAAAACTTTTATCTCTCTGCACGAAGCTCTGCACCTTTGCACGCCGCCTCTGCCTTTTTCCACCACCAAATTCTGCGCAGCAGTACCCAAGCACGTCCCCTGCCTTTACACAGCAGTCCGCACCCTTTTTGCACTTTGTAGCCGCCAGCTAAAAAAACTCCTTCGCTCACCTTTCACGGAACCCTAGACAATGATTTTATAGCCTGCAACTCAAATTCGGGTGGGCCAACGAAATTTCCGCTAAACAAATCCTCAAACAAAAGAACTCATAGCCTGCTGGACTTCTCCCACAAAAGGACTTGTGGCCCCCACTCTTGAAACCGTGTGCTTTGAAAACCGCCTCATCAACTCACACGTTTTCCTTTTTCAGCTCCTTAGCCATTCACGTGTCGCTATCAACAGATAGTTTTAGCATGCATGAGGTAAGCAACATGATTCTGTCTGAAGACTCCTTTAACAGTTCTTGGATTTTGCCATTTTGGCAGCTTATGAGTTCATGGTGCTAAAGGCAACTGAATGGAGTAGTGATAACTAAACTATTATGCATATACTATTTTGATACTACAAAAAAAAAAGTATGTAGTTCAATCGATCTCTTCAACTTTTCTCAAAACTAATGACTCGTCAACGGAGCCCACTTTTCTCTCTTTTGTGGTGCAGAAGTAGTGTAGAAGAGAATAACGTAGTTATCATAAGTCAATAAAATAAACTAACTTAGAATATTTATATAAATGGAAGCTTCAACAGGAAATCCAGATTATTTGGGAAAAATATTCACGAGGTGTTCTCTTCATTTTTTTCGTAGGAAATTAATTAGATAATAATGTATATCATTGTCATATGAGAAAATTTCCATGTATGATAAGGATGTGACACAATCTCCACCAAGTGAATAAAGAGCGGAGAGAGACTCTCATAATCACACTTTGTTGGGATTGTGATACATCACTGTATACGTCCCTCATATGACGTGCGGTACCCATTAACCTCAATTAATTATGATTCTACATTGACAAATTACAACGTCACATATTTTAAAGATATTAGTGAACTATTTACATGCTTTTAATTGTAATCATGAAATTATCTCGTTCCCATAAGAACATTGGGCGTTGCATAATGACCTATAGTTGTTTCTGGCGATCACTGTCGTCTTATGCAGGACATTTTGAGACGACGTTCCTCATCTCACTTTTTACGATGGTGCTGAGATTGTTGTCTTTCCTAAAAAAGTATCAGGATGCAGATGTAAATTGCAAGTACCAAGCGGTTATTTTAGACGTTAGAGTTTGCAAATGGGGGTGAAGAGTTGAAGTTCTGACTTTGAAAGATACACGATTTTGGAAGGAACTCTCAGACTCAGGGAGTAGTATGTTATGGATAAGAACGGCGGTAACGCCCAATACGAGCTTGAACTGAGAGCATCTCCAACAGCTTCCCCAAAATTTTCTCTAAAATGGAGAAACAAAAGTCATATTCTCCAAATTACAACAGCTTCCCCAAAATTTTCTCTAAAATGGAGAAACAAAAGTCATATTCTCCAAATTATTTTTGCTCTAACTCCAACAGCTTCCCCATTTTGAAAAATCGCATTTATTACAATAATAAAGCTCTCCCCAAAAATTTGGAGAATGCTGCAGATTTGGGGAAGACTCCCTATTTTTTCTCCTCCTTCCCTATTTTGGGGAATGGGATGGGGAATCTGTTGGACAAAAAAAAAAGTTCTATATTCTCCAAATTTGAGTATTTCAAGAAGATGTGAAAGCTGTTGGAGATGCTCTGAGATCCACAGGCTAAAGTCAAGAAGCTGTCTGCAGTTCTGAGATCTCCAGAGGAGAATGGTGCTTTTGAAAGAAATGACATGTTTTTTTTTGCTGGTCTAAGAGATGATAAACCTTGTGATTGTTATGTAAATTAATATATTTGGTGATGAGTTGTTGATTAAGCCATATATACCTAGTGCACGCTCAAGTTTATGAAATTGTAGTTATATTCATGCATTACCTTTGATCGCATGCACCACCATCTGTATCCAACCAAGCATAAATTTATACTTATAACCACATTGTTTACAACAAAATCGAATGATTAAACTTTTTCCCGTTTTTCTAGTAACCAAAATTTTCTATAAATTTGTACAAATAAAACTCTAAGCAGAAATTGAGCAGGCAAAGACAAAACGTAAAGAAGAAAACACCAACAAAGCCGACAAAAGCATAGTAGACCGCGGGTGCGCAGCGATAATCTACGCAGCCCATGCTTGGCAATCAACGTCATTAACGTCTTCGTCACAATGAGGTACTCCGAAGATGCAACAAAAAACTACAACCACATATGCATGTGAATCTTACTCCTTAGAGAGAGAGAGAGGTAATTACAAAGCGTTAACGCACAAACGTCTCTCCAATGATTTTCTTTGCTAGCTATAATCTTCAAGAAAAATAATGCTGGCAGCATCGAAGGGGAGACACCGGGAAATAACTCTCGATAGTGACAACGGGAAATAACTCCTGATAGTCTTCGTTGATACCATTGGCTACCCAGACCCGAGAACTGAAATAACTCCATCTTCACCATCATCACTACGTTGCAAATGAAGGGCCAGACCAACATCCCCAGTTCTGAATGAGTAAACAAAGCGCCGTCATGTCACAATCTCGACTGCTCTCAACTTCACAGGTATGGAAAGTGAAGTGATGATGAAGCTCCTACTGCGAGGGGAACAGAAGAAACAATAAATCCATTAAAGTTTAGTGGCTTTTCACACAAATCACGTAGGCCGACTGCATGTAGTAAACAAAAAGACTGCAATTAAGAAACAAACAATAACTAGTTTCTGATTCTACAAGCATCAGAGATAGAGAGCATCCTCAACTCTTGAACCCCAAATCAACAGCATTTGGCATTTGCATTTTCCACCTGCATCCATCTTAACTTCTTTAGGAAAAAAATATGAGCATCATCAGAGAATGCGAGTTGAGGAATTTCAAAGTGAAATAGCAGTTCTCGCCATCATCTTTCCAAGGAATACGCCAGTTTGTCCTTCAATCCATGAAAGATCACATGACAAAACATTTAGTATTCTGCTTCTGCTGCCTTATCTTTAAATCTTCTGGTCCTGAAATTTACTGGCACAGGTCAACAAGAGTACCTCATGCGGCAAGTGCAAACAGTGTTATGGCCTTAAATCAAAGTAGAAAAACTCATATAAACCTAGTAGATGAATCTCCACACCGAGTGTTATGGGGGGAAATGATCATATAGAGGGCCCTCCAAAGAAAATCATAAAGGTAGAGAGGGATGAATATATATACGTAATCTAGCATGAATTTTAACACGAATCCTGATGCACAAATCACCTTCAGTAACCAGCAGCTCATGCAGCTCATATAGAGGGAAAATGATCATATAGAGGGCCCTCCATAGAAAATCATAAAGGTAGAGGGATGAATATATATATGTAATCTAGCATGAATCTTAACACGAATCCTGATGCACAAATCACCTTCAGTTACCAGCAGCTCATACTGCCTACTCCGTAGACTGTACAGAGACAACAAACGCAATCGTAGCAAGTGCACTGATAAACAGTATTGACTTCACTGCCTTTTTTTGTGGTCAATGAACATGAATTTCATTTATCACATGAACGGTGAAAGTACAATCTAATACCTAGGCATACCTGAGATTACATAGTCAAAAATCAACTGAAAAAACTACTACACAGATTTCCAATCTCTCTCAACAAACACACATCCTACCTCAAATCATCTACCCATCTTTGAAACTGAGCAGGTATAGTTCTATGATACAAGACTGTAAGTATACGAACTTCAATCATTTCGAGCGTACATTCCGGAATCTTCCATTTGCCAGTATACAACCGCAAGTTCCTCTCCATCCATATGAAATATATTGTAGCTGCTAGCACGATCTTCTTCACCTTCTTAACATATAAGATTTTCCCACGCAAACACAAAGAGAACCAATTAATCACCAGATTCCATGAACAAGACCGATACTGGAAGTTCAGCCACTCCATATCTAAATTCCAAATTGTTGAGACCTGTTATTTAGTATCACATCGGTTAGGGACAAGCTCCTTTGTTTCCCCTAAATACTGTTAATAACATCCAAGAGAGAGCTAATAATCTCTCTAAGGAGTTTCACATTAACATAGTATCAAAGCCACCCTCCCCTCCTCTCTCCAATTCTAAACCCTAGGAGTCACCCTCTCAAACCTTAGCCGACACCCCTCTCAAACCCTACCTGTCACCCACCACCATCAAACCCTAACCCTTAACCCTCCGCCATGAATCATAGCTGCCACCACTTTTGACCACATCGCCACCACCCACAATAGGATCCGAACCGAGCTTTCTTCCAAACCTTGCCACTTGGCCGCTATACTGTTCATCCGGCCCTAACTCTACTCGATCAAACTAATCATTTGGCTTAACCAAATAGATCTTCATGGATCTTAAACTAATCATTTGTTTTAACCTACTAGATCTTCATAGATCTTAAGCTAATCATTTAGCTTAATTAACTACATCTTCATAGATTTTGAGCTAATCATTTAGCTTTCAAACTAGACCTTCATAGATTTTTAATTAATTATTTAGCTTAACTAACTAGATCTTCCTAGATTTTAAACTAATCATTTAGCTTAGTTAATTGGATCAAGCTAATTATTTAGCTTCATCTTACGATTAGTCGTTAAAAATCTCTTTGAAGAAACCAACTTTACAGGATGGTTTTACTTAGTGGATTGAATACTTGTGGTGATTACTTGTTGTGGATTTATTACTTGATGACTATTTATTGATGATTTGATTATTGGGAACTACTTTGTTGTTGGGTGATGTTGATAGTTATTTACCGAAAGATTATTAGTTGAAAGATCTTATTTGTTGTATTGATGGCTTCCTTTGGTGATTCTGCTAATTCGATGACCGGGAGAGTTGAGACGAAGATCCACACGGAGACGCTCTCTAACAAAAACACTGACCAGAAATTAAATGGGTCCAACTACCTACTTTAAGTATAAGCTACTGGTTCGAGTTTATGTTTCAGGTAGAGAAAAGGATCATCATCTTACAGATGACCCCCCTGCCAATTACTACCTCATAAAAACAAAATGACACTAGTCTACTTCATCAAATTTGGAACAACATTAAACCACAGGTCCTTTAGCTAGCAGTTCACTATAATATAGTGAAACAGGTGTGGAAATTCTTGGAGCGTATGTATTCAGGTCGTGGAGGACATCCTAATCGTGTATAATGTCATTCAAGAGTTATTTTGGAGAAAGATGGACGACCATAGTCAGACATTTGATGAGCATTATGGCAACTTCAATCGCCTCACAAAGGAGCTAAGATAGATTTTCCTCACGAGAGATGTTCAGAAGATGTAAGACCAGTGAGATCAACTAATGGTATTCACATTTCTTGGTTCTGTTCCCCACTCTTATAATTCAGCACGATCACAAGTCATTGGCAACTTTGTTATATGATCCTTAGTAGAGACATTACTTTTTAAGATCAGCAGCGCAAACAGTTCTAGTACGTACCGTCGCAGAGTCTGCCAATAGGTCTGCTCTCGCCACACAGAGTAGATAGTCGATCAGTCGTGGGGGTAGTCGTATTGGAGACCGCTTTGATAGATGCATGGGACATTTTGGAGTACATAGGGGATGCAGTGATAGTCGACGAGAAGTTGTATGGGAGGGTTCATCTGATTCCTCTATCCATTGCCATTATTATAAGAAACCTGGTCACATGAAATTCCATTGTCCTCAGCTACCAGGGAAACAATCTCGGTATGCACATGTGACTACATAGGCGAGTCCTATAGGTGATGAAGCCCGATGCCAGCTTAAGCAATTTTAGCTCTGGTTATTCTAACAATTCAAGAAGACACAATTCTCTCCTGCTACAGTTACACCTGCCTAGCTAGGTAAAACCATTACTTATCTTATATCATCATCATCTTGTATTTGGGTTATAGCTTCAAGGGCAAGTGATCATATAATTAGGAACCGATGTATATTATCCTCCTACACACCTAACACCTCCTTTTCTTCGGTAGTCTCGGTTGATGGATCACCACACCTGCGAAAGGTGTTGGATCTACCACCATTAGTACTATTCTACTTTTATTTGTGTTATATCTTCCTCATTTTTATTCAATCTCTAATCTGTTAGTAGGATTACTAAAGCATTTAATGTACGATCGTATTTTCCCTACACTGTATTTTTTGGCACTGACCGTGAGCAGGCAGCATTTTGCCCTAACCCAGGTGTCCTGCATCACCTCTACATCAGGCTTTGATGAACATTGTTGGTTTGGTCATCCCCTTCTTTCGGTTCTTAGAACTTTGATTGCAGATTTGAATCATGTCGAGCCCTTAGAGTGTGAGTCGTATCAATTCAAAAAAACACTAATGTGTGTCCGAGTCGCGTCAATAAGAGGGTTAGTAACCCATTTGATGTAGTGCATTCGGACGTATGGGGTCCTTATTTTGTTCCATCCAAACCCGATTTTTAATATTTTATTAGTTTTGTGGATGACTTTTCTCGCATGACTTGAATCTACTTGATAAAAAATGTTCTAAAATATTTTCTATTTTTAAAGTTCTTCATGCCGAGGTTAAAAATTAATTTCATAATACCATTAAAACTTTAAGAACAAATAATGCTAAAGAATATTTTGATAGCTCATTCACAACATATTTGGAAGATGATGAAATTTTACATCAGTCATGTTGTACTTGCATACTGCAACAAAATAGGGTGGCTGAGCGTAAGTACAGACACTTATTAAAAACTGCTAGGACCTTACTATTTCATCATCAAGTTCCAAAATATTTTTGGGGATGCTATTTTGACAGAGTGCTACTTAACCAATAGATTACCCTCATCTGTCGTACAAAATAAAACTCTGATCTCTCTTTTATATCCAGCTGAAGAGGCTTTTCATTTACCTCCTAAGATCTTGGGTCTCTATGCTTTATTCACAATCATAGTCCTCAACGGACAAAATTAAATTCAAAATCTCCTAGGAATATTTTTCTTTGATATTCTAAGACTAAAAAATGGTACATATGTTATTGCCTTTTTTAAATTGGTATATTGTTTCATCTGATGTTATCATCTTTGAGAACAAACCAGGACATATTGCCTTTGATAAAAGCTTAGACCCTCTTGATGATTATGACTATCTTATTGTTCGGGAAACTACTGTCAATGTTCCTTTCAAGACCGTTTTACAAACTGATCTACCATCCAAGTTTACAAAACCAGTTCAGGTTTATACAAGACGTATTGTTCTGCAACCTGAGCTATTATCCAACTCTATCCTAGAGTCTGATATACTAGCAAATCAAAATGTGGTCATAAAACCAAGTGCTCAACCCACTAATGATCTTCCTATTACCTTCCGAAAGGGTAGGTGATCTTGTTCTCGGAGTTCTCAGAATTCTCTTACACACTATGTCTCTTACTCTTCGTTATCTCTATATTATTCTTTCATATCTTCTTTGGGTTCTCACCCGGTTTCTAACAATTTGTCAGAAGCTCTATCTAACATATGTTGGACAGTGTCACAGTGGTAATGCAAGACGAGATAACGACCTTAGAGCAAAATGAGACTTGTGATCTTATTTCCCTACCACGAGGAAAGAAAGCGGATGGTTGCAAATGAGTTTATACTATCAAAATAAATCCAGATAGCTCTCTACCTCGCCTCAAAGCTGGACTAGTTACGAAGGGACATTCACATATCTATGGTCTTGATTATAGCGATACCTTCTCTCCTGTAGCTAATATGACATTTGTCCACATGCTTATTTCACTTATTGCTTGCTATCACTGGCTACAACATAAGTTGAAAATTAAGAATGCATTATTTAATGGTATTCTTGAGGTTTGTATGGAGCAACCACCAGATTTTATTGCTCAGGGGGAGTGTGGCAAGGTTTGCAGGTTAAAAAAATCCCTCTACAGCTTGAAACGATTTCCAATAGCTTAGTTCAGACGTTTTGCAGTAGTTATCCAGACCATTGGTCTTCATCGAGCTCAGAAAGACCACCCTATTTTTTGGAGATTTCATGATGGAAAGCAGATTCTTTTGATTGTAAATGTTGACGATATTGCGATCATCGGTGACGATGCATAGGGCATTAGTCATTTGAAGAAGTATCTACACCAACGATATCAAGCCAAGGACCTTGAATTTTTAAAATATTTTCTAGATATCGAGGTGGCTAGATCGAAGAAGGAGATTCTCTTATCTCAAAGAGAAATATGTGTTTGATATGTTAATAAATGCTGGGATGTTAAAATGCAAGGGTATTGACTCACCTATGGATGACAAGGTCAAACTACTACTAGCTCATGTGGGAGTTACTGAAGGATGCTGAAGAATATAGATGACTTGTAGAGAAGCTAAATTACCTAACAGTCACGAGACCAAATATTATAATTTACGTCAGTGTGGTTAGTCAATTTCTCTTGGCACCTAGGAAAGCTCATATAGAAGCTGTAAAGAGGATTCTTAGATATTTTAAGAAAACTCCAGGAAATGGAGTACTCTATTCAGATAGCGGTCATATGAGTTGTAGGATTCTCAGATGCAGATTGGGCAGTATCTCCTAAGAATAAACAATCAACTACTGAGTATTATGTGTTTCTTGGAAGAAATTTAATATCATGGAAGAGTAAGAAACAGAGTGTAGTCTCTCGCTCTATAACTGAGTCTGAGTATCGAGCCATGTCGAATTTGACTTGTAAACTGATCTAGGGTAGAGAAATATTAACAGAGATAGGTTATCCTCCAGAGTGTCCCATAGGCTTGTATGGAGATAACAAGGCCGCCATACACGTAGTTGAGAACTCTATGTTTCATGAGAGGACAAAACACATAGATATTGATTGAGACTTTATTCGCGAGAAGATGAAGAAGGAAATCATTAGAACCAAGTACATACCATCAGGACATTAACTTGTAGATATTCTCATAAAACATCTTAGCATTGTTTTAAATATCGACCGATAATCGATATTATCGGCCGAGTTATCGGATTTGGGAGCTCTCCGCTAGGATAACTTGGATTTTTAATCGGTTATCGTTTTTGTAGGTTTATCGGCGATTTATCGGCGTTATTGGCACTTATCGGCCGATAAGTAAGACTTTTTTATCGGGATTATCGGGATTATCGGCCCATTTTGACTAACATTAAATTTTTTTTAAGGCTATGCAATCGAATGGTTTCATCGTGCGGTCAAGATGCAAGTTTTGTTTTCTACAATTGGTTAATGATTCTAAACATGATGGTTTATACTTTGGTATGTTTATATTTCATTAAGCATGATTAGATTATATTTTTTAGTTGTTATATTATATATACACATCATCCAGTATATCACTCCGATAAATACTACTTATCCCCGATATATCCCCGATTTCCGCTATCCGATAAGGATTTTTTTCTACAATTGGTTAATGATTCTAAACATGATGGTTTATACTTTGGTATGTTTATATTTCATTAAGCATGATTAGATTATATTTTTTAGTTGTTATATTATATATACACATCATCCAGTATATCACTCCGATAAATACTACTTATCCCCGATATATCCACGATTTCCGTTATCCGATAATGATTTTAGCCGTCCGATAAATCCCCGATAACCGATATTTAAAACCTTGCCTCTTAGAAGAATAGAAGTGAATTTTATCTGTAACAAGTTAGACATGTACGATATGTATGCTCAGCTTGAGGGATAGTTTTGAGAGAGTTGTTACTTAGTCCCACATCGGTTAGGGACAAACTCTTTTGTTTTCCTAAACACTATTAATAACATCTAATAGAGAAGTAATAATCTCTCTAAGGGTTTCACATTAACACAAATAAAAGATGAGAATGGACAATAAAAAATAGATAAGTCCTACAAACTATGAGAGCATAAAACACGTGATTTAGTAGAAATAATCCTCCTCTTACAGAGTCTATCTTGAGAAAGCGGCCTCTGAAGTCTGAAGATTCGCCATCCACAAAATACAAGAGTGCTTTGGGGTTATATATTTGCCATACTAAATGAGACCAAGACACCTCAATGGAAGCACAAATAGTATCACCAAAAAGCTTTAACCGATAAGAACGTACCATTGCTTCTCCAGGACTGAAACAAGGCAATGATACCATCAGAAGACCCCCATTTAGATAAAGCTTTATCCCTCAGCTTAAGAATCTGTTTCCACATCTAAAAGTAATCGACTCTTTCATTCACAGTCCAAATATCAGCTCTCCTTCTTAAATAAGTTCCATGAACCTTTTGACCCAAGCAACTCTTTACTCACATGAATACACCATAGCAATTTAATACCAGCAGCAAAGCTCGAGTCCACTGACAAGAATACACCCAGTCCTCCATATTTCATACATTTACATAGAATCTCCCAAGCTACTAACGGAACTCTATTAGCTTCATGAGAGCCTCCCCAGAGGAACTTCCTACACATATCATCAGCCTTCTTTAGCAATTTCTCAGGAAGAATATAATTAAGTCCAAAAAACCAGTACGCCAAATATAGCAGTCTTTAATAGGTGAAGTTTACAAGCATAGGAAGTCTTTTTACTCTTCGAACACTGAAATTGAGCAACCAACTTAGACAATAAGGGAGCACAATCATGAAAAGATAGTCTTCCACACACCAAAGGAACCCCCAATTATCTAATAGGAAGAGAGCCTTCAACAAACCCACAAAAATGCAAAATCTCCGCCCTAACTGTATGCTCATCGTCCCCCAGGAAAACAGATTTTGTAGGATTTTCCATCAAGCCAGATATGCCTTTAAACACATCAACCACATGCGCAAGAGTAAGCATAGAATAAGATCATTTGCAGATATAAGATGGCCCACTCTAAGCTTGGCACACTTAGGATGAAAATTAAAATTCATATCCACACTCAGCATATCGAACATTCTAAAGAGACACTCCATCCCTAGAACAAACAAATATGGAGACAATGGTATTGACTTCATTGTTAGTTGATAATAATCTGTGCGTTAAGATTTGTTTTGAATTGTTAGTTGATAATAATCTGTGCATCAAGATTTGTTTTGAAAAGGGTGTTTTCATCCCCTATCTATATGATTTTCTATAAAGGGCCCTCTGTAGGTTTTTCCCAGTGTTATGGCCTCTTTACCTGAAAGTACAGCGTAAGTCTTAGGGACTAATGGTTCTTTGACAAAACACAAACATCATCATTACACAATAGTCAATGTAGATTACATAACAGTATCGTTTCATGGTTACCGTTGATAGCATGCAGAAGCTTTAAAAATAAACTCAAAATATGTGAATTTGCAAAATTTGAATAAACTTGAGCAAATCATATTTAATTTCCTGAAAAAAAAAGTAACTTGTGAAAATTCCCAAATAATCTGGAGAAGATGACTTCCTGTTAAAGCTTCGATTTATAGGGTATCCTCTAAATTAGCTTATTCATTTACCGTAAGAGCCTAGGAGCTCTTATACTCATAGGGCCCAAGGACGGTCAGGACTGTCAGACAAAATCATGATTCTTACCTCATGCATGCTAACGAGATCAACTTAAAGCTAATGCAAGTTGGTAGGTTAAGCCAAGCATAAAAAACCTTAACTAAACGATCCATAAATTTATATCCTTCTCCGAATGGGTCCTATGGAGCCAGTGAGAAATATCAGATTATAATGATTGCAGTTGTAGGTATTTATATACAGGCTACAGCCCATACAAACTAGACAGGTGGTTCAATCAATTTTGAAGAGATCAACAACCAGGGATAGAGATCCTTGTACATCATGGAGATAATCTTAATGGTAATGAGATTGAAAGATGGGGGATAGAAATTGTTGTACATAGACAGAGTAATCAAATGATCAACGTTGAGGTCATGAAAAAAAAGGAACTCGCCGTGAAGAAAATCTCAATAGTAAATATCTGATATTGAACCCATAAAGTAGGAAATCTCATTAATAGATATTAATACGGGTCAAATCCGAAATTTTGAATGTGACAGCAATAGATTTTCAAAAGAGAGAGAGCTCGACAAAAGGGGTCAAAGGGCACCAATCCGGCATGAGAGGGGATGGCAGATCTGACGAGAAACACTAATGAAAAGCAACAAAATCGATCAGCATAACGGCGAAGATGATTAGTGTGCTTTGCCCGAACGAAGTATGACTGATGGATATTTAGAAATCGGTGATATCAATAGATCTGAAGAAGATTAAAACCGAATCTTGCATGATGTCAAAGCCGCCGAGGAAAAATGCGAAGATGATGTTTGCAGTAAAACATCATCAACAGACCTAAGATTAAGAAAGAAGAGAGATCTCACTACGATTAAGAACCTAGCTCTCATGCTACATTAGATTCAGAGAATATGAAGAAGAATTGTCTCTCTTATTGATATTTGATTGACTCATATCACAAGAGATGATTGCATATGTTTACATATGATAAAAGACGCCAATGAAGGCACTACTGCAACTTATATATAGTCAAAGACTTAATATAGGGAATCTCAGTAACAAATAGGAAATAAGAGAGTATATGCATATACCAATTTTAGGTATATGCACTAATAAATATAGGAGATATGGAGTATATACCCTATTACATTTAACATATAGCTTACTACATCTAATATGTGTCTCCAATAATATTTAACAATGGGCATGAAAAAGCGTGAAAGGTGCATCCTATGTGAGAACACTCTAGTTAATCATTATTTGCAGTCCAATAGTTTCCTGCACTAAAGCCTGCTTCCTACTTCCACGCAACCAAACATGTACAAAGAGCAGTCTCCTTCATTGACTAGAAATAACCATCTCCATTTTACTGTCAACTTCACGTTCATTTTTTAACCTATGGTCTTAACCATTTCTTTGACCATGATCTGAAACTCAAGACTGACCCACTATTCAATCAGTGTCGCAAATATCCAGACTTATGAATACACTTATTTTCAATCATATCCTCCAGCTTACAGTTGCCATCTGTTTCTGCATTATAATCACTATACTTTTCTTTTGTATAAAAAGAACTGAAAAGGATATGAAGAAACAAGGAGTTGGGCTTCAGCAGAGCTGATTGAAAAAGAAAATTTTCATGTTCACAAGGCAACTTGTATTACTTACTATGTTCCTTTCAATCGTCTGTTGTTTACGAAAGGTTAGTGATAATTAAAAATCGAGCAAGATCATTCATGTGCACTCAATAAACCAGTGACATGATACCAAGCAATTCAAAGATACAGCTTAATTTCCTTCTACTTCTGTACTAACCAGAACATAACTGGGGGTTCATGAAAAACACAACCTATTAGCATCCTGTATCTCCATGAATTTCAACCAAGCATAGAAAGAATACGCTGAACATTTACCACAGCTATGTAAGCTTACACATGCGTATTCTCCGTGGTCCTAGTAAATTAATAATACAACAAAAAACAACTGGGATAGAAATTTAATTACAATCCTGTGTAAGAGCTTAAGGTGTGACCTAAGTTGCATGGATATAGGTGCTAGTACAGCTGCAGGTGCAGGTACGCATACGGCATACGGGAAGGTCCAATTTGTGAAAGGTAGACTACGGGGGCATGGCCAGGATCACAGTTCCAAACTGTAATTTTCTATTGAATATGGGCTAAAACGAACCAGACCTCAACCATCAACTTTCAGAAACTGGACCTGAAGTGTAGGATATACACCCAAGAAGTGAGTGTTTTAAATTAAAGAGGTAATTGCATACTAGTCCCTTAAATCATCTTTGATTGCCAAAAAGTCGCTCAAATATCAATATTTGCCCAAAAAATCTCTAAATTTTAACAGAAAATTTAGCCCAGCTGCAGTTAGAAATTTTAAGGGAAAATTTAACAGAGGGACGATTTGGCAATAAAATTTATGATTTGAGGGACTTTTTGGCAACTGAGATTTGAGAGACTTTCTGGCAATTAAAGATGATTTAAGGGACTAATACGCAATTACCCTACAGAAAAACATGTATTATGTAATTTGAGTACACTTTTGAATAAACGTATCACGTATGCATATACTCAAGGAGTGTCCATGAAGTGTCAGGTACGGGTACGAATACAGGATTTGTCAACTGCGGGTACAGATGCAACATAGGCAATGACCGTTTAATGTGTCTCCCTTACTGAGTCATATTAAACATAAGCCTAACTGACAATAACAAATACCCTAAACAGAAAACAATACGGTAATCAGTAATAATACCACGATTGAGTAAGGAAGTACGAATTACCTAGGCAGCTCTATTTCTACATCCATGCATAAACATCTCCTGAAGCTCTGGAACCTCGTACTGATGCGGGACAATGAACTTGTCCATAAACGCCGTGTCTGAATAAGTCATGACAGTAGCCAACTTGCGCTCTTTATCAAGCAATCCTCTCGACAACAACAGTTTCATCACTTTATGACGTGGAATCAGTCTCTTCTCCAAGCTAAACATCAGCAGCAAAGGGTATCGGGCAACATAACCAGGCTCACACTCAGCTCCCTTCAACAAGAACTCCATCTTTGTAGCCAGCATTTTCTGGGAGATGCACAAGAACAGCGGAGCTTTCGAGGATGCGGAAATGAACTCAGCCTCTGACCACCCAAACTTCTTCATGATCTCACGATTGGCTTTCAACTTAGCTTTGCTTACATTGCTAAGAGCCCAGAGAGCCCATATAAACATCCCCGAGCCTCGAGCAATACCTATTTCCTTCTCAACTCGGTCAGCAGCTGCGGTCAAGGCTTGTGGGCTCTGGGCGAAGACGCTAGGGCTACTGCGAGCCACCATTGTGATCTTCTCATCAGAGATGCCACAGCTGCGAAGAAAGGAGATATTGGGCATCACAGTCTTCTCGATGTTCTGCGAAATAACGTTGTTTTTTCTCCTCAAGAGCCTAATGAGATGATCCCTAGAACCTAGCAGGCCTTGCCAAAACTGGATACTTGGGAGGATTTTCCTGTTGAAATTGAGGCATATTACTCTGTGGTTTGAATTGATGAGGTCAGTGAGATCGGAACCGGCGAAGCCAATGTCGCTCAAAGACTTGAACTTTGGAGCTAGGCTTTTCTCCACGTTGAGAAGAAGGCATTTCGGGTTCCAAGCTACGGTCTTTTTTATGTGGGCATGGGTGAAACCGTGGGCTTCCATGAAGGCAATGAAGGATTGGGGCCTGTCGAGGGATTTGAGGGAGGACAGATATTTGGAGGCTCTGATTGCTTTTTCTGAAGAGAACCCAAATTTGTCTACGAGATAATCAACGATGAAATGATGGGCTTTGGGGAGAGGGAAGGATGATGGGCTGGTGGCGGCGGAGGAGGAGAGGAGGCGAAGTGGTTGCAGAGCTCCGAGAAGGCGGCCATGGCGGCAGCAGGAGAAGGAAGAAGGGAGCTTGAACATCAATAGCATCAGCAATTTCTTCTCTCTTGTTGCTGTGAATTCAATGGGGAGCCGATGCGTATGATCTGATGAAGGGTTTTAGCAGCAACAATTGATATAAAATCCGTCGAGTGTTGGGATTAGGTCACCCGGATCTTTATATTTGGAAACCAGTCTCGTGCCGTTAGGTTTTTTACATTTAAAAATACATTAACTTTGAAGAAATTTTCATAATGAACTCATTCTCAATTTTATTCTCAAAAACCGACCAACTTCAAAATTTATTACCAAAATCGATTAACTTTCTCGTCATGTCAGCTTTATGGCTAGAGAGTATGTCGATTTAAAAAAAATCACGATCTTAATTAGTCGGTGTTGCCAACCCCAACTAATTAGGACCTCGCACACAACGCTTTAGTAATTTGGCAGCTAAATTGTTCGGGGTTCGAAACCCCAACTAATTTAGTCATTGCAAAAATGGTCGGGTTGGAAACCTCGACCATTTCAAAATACCTAATTTGAAATGGTCGGGGTTCCTAACCCGACCAATAGCAGAGAATGGCCAACCCAAGTTGGGAAAGTGGGAAAGTGGGAAATTAGCTAAGTGACACAATACTCGGGGTTGCCAACCCCGACTACTTGTTCTGGGTCCCGCCCCAATATAAACTAACCGAAACCCTTTTCCCCCAACCCCATCTCTCCCAGCTGCATCTCTCTTCTCCAACTCTGATCTCTCTCTCGTTTTGCCGCAACTCATCTCAATTTCAACCCCATTTTGCGGCCGTAATTCGTCGTGAAAGTTCGTTTAAGATCTAAAGGTTAATTTCTCTTCATTCTCTCCTCTTTTAAGATGTAAAAATGTAGGGTTTTCTCTCAAAAATGAATTTCTAGGGTTTAAAATTTATTATCAACCACTCTCTTTGTGGTGGTTCGGATGCTTTGTGTGTTGATTGTTGTAATTGAAATTAAACTTTTAGGGCATAGAATGCTCAATTCTAGGGTTTAGGATTTTTAATTTGGGGTTTAGGGTTTTTGGTCAAATTTATGAGAATATTTGCATATTGGTTTCCTCTCTTATTCGATGCCTTGATAATATTTTTTAATTTTTTTACATTTAAATGATATAATCTTCTTTTACATAGGTTGAACAATATGATTTTTATTGCTTATTCTTATGGTGGAAAAAATAATTATGGAATGAATAATATGCCAATGTACGTCGGAGGGGTAACGACGTCATTAATGATCTTAGAATCATATAGTTACTGTGACTTGGTTAATGAATTACACTGAGTTATGGAAATTGACCCATGAGAATACCAATTAAATATAATATGCAATTGACCCATAACTTTTGATAGAGCGTCCGTAGTTGAGATCTCAAACGATCATCATATGAGTATTATGTTTAATTTGAGCAAATCGCAGCCAACGGTAGAATTGTTTATTAAAAAGTTGCTATATAGTTCGTGCCAAATATTCAAACCTCCAGGAGAATTCTCACGCATGTTAGATTTGGGAGGTGAGTCTGATGGTTTTCTTTCTTCTTTGAGTGAAATGGAACAGACTCAATTTCAATATCCAAGTGCCCTTCATTCTAGAGAACGTCAAATGTCATGAATAATGTAGTCCTTTATAAAAATATGAGGCTGTTAAGAGAGGCAACAATTAAAGAGGATAAAAGAAGCAACGACTCTGAAGGTGAAGAGCAAGATAGTGTACCAATTGATAGCATGCAATTTATGATTGGAGATGTTGAAGAAAATCCGGATTGGCTTGATGAGGCTTATGTTAGTAATGAATATGTTGAGTATGAAAAACCACCCCCCGACGAGTTTGAAGATGATTAGTGGATTCGTTCTTCAACAGTACAAGATATGTGCATTGGCCAAAGTTTAACTCATAGAGGAGATGTTGACGCCCCTTTCAGAGTTTGTGATTTATTAGAGACAAAGGACCAATTGGTTGATGCTATTCGTGATTACTCAATCAAAAAGAATGTCAAATTCAAGCAAGTTAAAAGCAATCGCACAAGTTATGATGCAATATGTTTTATGAATACACAAAGGAAAGGTCGGGTCGAGGGAAATAAAGCTGATTACGCATGTCCTTGGAAGTTATATGCATTTGTCGAAAAGAAACAAAATGGGCATTTTAGGATCACAAAATACTACGGTGTTTACGCATGTAGTAATCCGATATTAGAGCAAGATCACAGTGGTGCATCTGCCTCTTACATAGCGCAGTTGATTATGCTAAAATTTAAGAAGAAGCTTGAACTAACTCCCGGTAATATAATTGAGAGAGTGCTAGATATAAAGTTCATTAAAATATCGTATTATAAAACATGGAATGCAATGAGAATTGTGATGACAAAAATATTTGGTGATTAGGAGATGTCTTACGTGACACTACCTCAATATCTTGATGCGATCAAAAGAAGCAATCCTGGATCTAAATACAAACTTATAACCAAAGATATCAATCCGAGAGTCCATCAATTCACCTCTGTATTTTGAGCATTTGTTCTTTCGGTCGAGGGATTTAAATTTTATCGGTCAGTTCTTAGCATTGATGGTACACTTATATGATAAATATAAAAGTGTGTTGCTTGTTGCTACAGGAGTAGATGCGGATGATGACTTATTTCCTTTGGCCTTCACAGTTGTGGAGGTCGGGAACAGTGAAAATTAGGAGTGATTTTTTCCTGTATTCAATTGTATATTTTTAATGTGGTGCCTCCTGAGAAAATTACTTTTTTTATCCGATAGGATGAAAGTTATTCCAAAAGCATTTTATAGGAGATTTGGCTCTCATCACCATCGCCGCTATTACTTACGACATATTAGAGCTAATTTAAAAAAGAGCTTTGGTCAGATACATTTACAAAACCTTCTTTGGCAAGCGGGTTGTACACCCAAAACATGTGTGCATAATTAGATACGGGATCAAATCAAGGCAACATCTCAAGCTGCACATGACTAGATTGAGAGTAGTTTGGGAAGTGAATATGTCGACTGGTGGGCACTAAGTAAAAATAGAGGGAATCAGTTTTGCATGATGATAACTAATTATTCTGAAAGCTTCAACGGGGTACTTAAGGGGGCTCAAGCAATGGCCATACAAGCGTTGGTTGTGAGAATATTTTATAGACTCAATCACTATTTTGTCAAAGCGGCGGGAGGATGGAGCAAAGTGGGTGACGTTATTGACACCAAAAAATGAAGAGATTGTAGGAGCTCGTGTCAAGCAGGCGAGATCAACGAAGATTGTTAGATTTACTGTAGATGAATAACGGGTTACAGACAAACACATTCATAATTACACCATCAATTTACAAGGGCCAAAATACGCATGCACTTGTAACATACCAGAGTTGTAAAAATTGTCATGTTCACATGTTCTAGCGGTTACATCCAAGAAATTTAGAGGTGCAAATATTTTGTATTACACATACGCTTCTGAATGGTATCAATCAAGCCACTATAGAGATTCATACAAGCAGTGTTTCCATTCCCATTGTAGATAGTCATTACTGGCCACCCTATAACGGGCCACATGTGTTACCTCCGGGTTCCACTAAGGATTCGGTGCATGTGAGATGGTTGCCACTTCTTGAGGATCTTAAGGAGTGTGGAGAGTTATCCTAGGGGAGTGTAGTGTTAGCTTATCTATATAGGGAGAAGACAAAAATGGCACTCGTGCAAAATAAAGAATTTAAGGGTTGCCTCACTTTGTTGCGAATATGGTCTTGAGAACGATTGCATTTGGGAACACTAGATTTGAGGGAGACATGCACTCTCAATGGATAGATTCCGTTAGGTGTTGGCCTTCTTGCTTTGATGATAATTTACAAACAATTTACATCTAATATTGTTTGTCTAGTATTTGTGTTTTATATTTATTCTAGGCAAACAATAGGTTAGAGGATGGATGGGATTACGCATTCACGATCATAAGCTTCATTCGTAAGTTTACCAAGAAGAGCTTATTGAAGATCAAGATCATAGCTTGGGTAATTTAGTTTAGGTGTTATATTATGTGTGTTAAGTACTTTAAGCTCAATATCATATACACACACATTTTATTGGTTTCTATGTATATATATATAGTTATATATATATATATATGTGCATATTTTGGATTTTGGTTTATCCACAAACAAAGTTTTTACTAGAATATAAATAAATATTTATATTTATACATGTTTGTTTTTACGTGGATAAATTGGTTTGGTTTAATTTCATAGATATGAAACAAATATATATTCATATTCATACTCATATGTTTCATATTCTATTGTATTTGTGAAAATACTATATTCATTGTTTATAGACTTCATAACAATAGTTTATATCTTTCTTCAAGTCTATAAAATCATTTTGTATTATTTCAAAACATGGTTAAAATGTCAAAACTCATATGTTCACATTTTCATGTTTTGGACTATTTTACAAAATGATGATATTTTTTATTTGGGAGGTCTTTTTTGAAAACCAGTCTTTATAGCATTTTTATTATCATGTCTATAATCATTCCCTAAAGTTTTATATTTTTTAGAATTTATTTGATATTTTTAAACAGGATTTTAAAATCAAAAAATTAACTTTCAAACATGTTTTCTCATATGTCAGTTTACGGTCGACCACCACGGTCGATCGCGCCTTTGTTTTTAACCTACAGAGCTAACAGCAACTTTCGCGGTCGACCGTCACAGTCGACCGTCAGCTCGAAAATTCTCACGGTCGACCATCACGATCGACCGTCAAAGTTTCTGGAATTTTCTGAGCCTCGAAAGTGGCTCGCGGTCGACCGCGAGATTTTCACGGTCGACCGTCGTTCACTCCAACGGTCATTTTGTATAGAATCTGATTTCCGATTCTGTTGGTTTTTTGGTCATTTCTGTTGGCCTTTTGGCTGAGGTTTTGGGCGATTATAAATACCCCATTGATCTCAGTTCTCATAAGAAATCCAAGAAGTTTTTAAACAAGAGTTTAACAAGGGTTTAAGTTTGTTTAGTGTTTGTTTAAAAGAGTTTTTTTTGTGAAAAAGTTTTACATAAGTGGAGGGGATCATCCACATTCCTTGGGCTTCATTTTAATCCATCTCTCCATCTTGTTTTTCAGAGAAGAATTTCTAAACTCAATACTAGCTTTGTATTAAATCTTTGTTG